ACATAGGTTTGGAGCTTGATAATGCATAATTAAGACATTTCTTACATTTAATTCACTAAAAAATAAACATATAAAATGTAATGATTAAAATGCACATGTCTTAATGTCTGTTTATATCTCTATATTCACTTATGCCTCCCTTTATCTCCCACAACTGTAGATTGCAAGTGGGCCAAAATCCCTATCCCATCTGCATCAGATATATGGGGATATAAGAGTGTTTATAATGTTACTTAATCTCACACACCTCCTTTCAGTAAGTGGGGCTATAATCTCTCCCACATCTGCATCAAGAAGATGAGGCCAAAATAATATATTTAGGCCCCTTGTAACAAATTAAAGAATGCACTTTTTCACATGTCAGAACATAATATCTCCAATACCATGTAATTCAGGATGTAAATGCAATACAACATCACTTAATGCAGTATTTAGGAAGTGCATGAATTCCTAGTTAAAGCCACACTACTTGTAAAATAGAATATTCACTAAACTTTCCCTTTTTAATTTCTAACTTTGGAGTAACATTCCCATGACCTTTCCAAGACTTTTATATGATGATTGAATATGCCAAAAAAACCTTAATTTAATAATATACTTTGGAATTTGCATAAGAAAAACCAACCATTAAAAATTCAATTTCATATAGCTAAAATATTCACAATAAGGAGTAAAATAACATATAAAAAATCACACAGTGAAAACTTCGTAAAATCTAATTAAAATATATTTTTGTTGATATTTTTTTATAAAATTACTAGAATTAAAATTAGAGACATGCGTTTAGGAGCCTATCTCATGCTCTACAATATCCCGAGTTAGCCTACCAGACGAATCCCGAGACTCGGCCTCCAAATCCCTATCTCATCCTTTCTCTTTCCTCTTCTCCTCCCTTCTTCTCTACAAATGGTTGGGTGGGGATGAGAATGGTGAAATGGTTATATATTTTTTAATATTGTATTTTTTTGACCTAGCATTATGGCGCTCGATCACTCTCCGGTGTCATTGTGCTACCAGAGAATCTTCTAGATCCTCCCAAGATATCCTCACCTGAGACTTGACATTACAGTGATGCTTCCCTGGAATCATAGTGCACCCCTAAATATATTTTCCGTCCAAAAATTTTGAGAGCTCAATGCTGGGGCACCATCTATCCCACCATCATGGCACAAACATAATAAATTCCCAACTTTGAATTTTCACTTCTCAGATCCTAAACTTTGGTTACGCACAATCCCAACAAGCATTATAAGAGTACTAATTACTAATTAGCTTAAAAGTAATAATTCTTAATAGAAAGTTACATAAATTTTAGGACAATGGATATTACAATTGTTACTATATGTTATACTTTCTTTCCTTTACAACATTTTTTATGTTTTCACTTATATCATGAAAATTTGGACACTAGAAATTCACCTCACTTTAGATAAGAGAAATTTGACCAATCCTGATTAAAAAAATGATAGGTAGAACATAGAATATTGAGTCAAGAAGAAATTAAGATTTGAAATAAATTATGAATGGCTAAAGTAATTTGGCTAAAGTAATTTGAAAAATAATAAATGAAAGTAGGACATAAAACATTGAGACAAATGAATTTAAGTGATAAAATTGTATATAATTGCATCTATAAAAGAGAATATGAAAGGAATTATTTAATGTTAAGGAAGAAAAATATTATGAAATTCTCTCTATAATCTTTATTTTGTTTTCCATATAAGAACAAGAATTATTAATGAAGGATTCTTGACATGAATCTCTATGTGGATTAATGATGTTAAATGTTTCTATAATGAATCAATGGTAGATGGTTCCCTTGATAGGTTTTATGTTTACTATTTATATTGATATCATCTTAAGAGATAGATTATTATTAATTGATTATGCTCAAGTAGATTTGTCAATGAGCTGACATTGAACTAAGTTATAATGGCTGTTAATTTATTCATTCCCTCCAATTATTATGGTTGTAATTCATATTGAGTTCATCCCATGATTTTAATTAGTAATGTATTTAGCGACTAATGTTATTGCTATTACTTATTGAGATCCTCAAAAAAGGAATTATAATTATTGAGATGTCTTCTGAAAATATGTCATGTTAACAAGAAAATTTCATTTTTGGATACCTTATGTTAAAAAGAAACAAAATATCTCAGTTATGCTACTTTCTTATTTTCTTCTTGATGGCATCATGTTTATGGCTAAGATGACTTTCCATGCATTCAAAAATTTATGGGTTATACAATGTATGAATTTCTAACACCATAAAATAGCCTTGATACATAGTACTTTATTATAACTTATGAGAAGTTTGAACTTATAAGATGATAAACCACATTACAAATTTCTTAGTTCATTTTTTAAACTATTTTTTGATTTAACATAGTATTGACTTATTTTTTTATTTAGGTTGTTGAAATAATTTTCTTTAGTAGAGTAATTTAGTGCCCATTTGAGGTGATTTCCCTTAACAAATAGATCCTAATAGACATTGTCCAGTGTGTTTGGATTCTTCTAGTACAATTAAAACTTGGTCAAGTTATCCAATCCCTAGCACACTTGTCCAATACATTAAACTCAATAGTATGGGCAACAATTATGGGAGTCATGTTCCTAAGTATAAGTTTAAATATTTTTAGTCCCGTAAATGTTGCCAAGTGCATGAAGCCTGACCCTTCATTTCTTCTATTTACAAGTGTAGCATCCCTTGGGTAGAATTTACTACTAAGAGTCTTTTTCTTCTTAATTTGGTTCTAGTCAAAGAATAATTAGAGAGGATAATGATAAGAGGTTGAGGTCATCATTTGTTGATATCTATAGATTTCCTGAGGTTGAATCTCTTTACTCATTAATATAACACTATCCCAATTATAATGATTGTGATTTCCTAGGTCACTTTCATTATTTTAGTATTGCTTTATATAGTAAATATTTCATCATATATCATGTTACATGTTTGTAATTATATTGCTTTACTCATAAATGTTGCTTTTGAATATCTTTTTTAAATTTTTTCATAGAGGATTTTAGAAATTTTGCTATTTTTATTGAATAAAAATAATTCGAACTCTAAAAAATAGTATCGTAGTATGATGAAAGTCTTAAAAAGGGTTTTTACACAATCTAGAGTAATCTGGTTATATTTTAAAACTGTGAATTTTTCTTAGAAGTATTTTTGTTACCAGCCATTAAGACATTTTTGCAAATTTTGAATTTAGTCCAATAAAGCTTTAATTAATGAAATGCGTCAAAATGTATAAAATGGTGAAAGAAATGTGAGATGATTTGATGTGATGTGATATGGTGTTATTCTGGAGCCAGTGGACTACAAAGGTGAGATTTTATTTTGCTAGAGCCAGTGGGCTATTAAGGTGGGATTTTGTTATGTCGAAGTCAATGAGCTACCGAGGTGGGATTCTATTATGCTAGAGCTAGTGTGCTACTAAGACGAGATTCTATTAATGAAGATGTATATACAAATTTTGGTTTGAGAGCCATTCTGATAATCACTCTATTAATCACTATGAAATATTTACTCATAATTTAGTTATTTTCAATATTTGTTAAAATGCATTCAATTTCAGTACATGTTTCAGTTTCACCTTTCTGTACAACACTTCAATTATTATTTTAGCATTTTCAATTTTGTTATTATGGGTCATAGATTTTTGTTTTAGGCTACGATAACCTACTGAGCCGTGCTAGCTCATTTATGCGTTTGCTTTTATTTTCAGGCCAAGAAAGGGTAAGGAGTGAGTTGAGTAGCTTTGGATATCAGGCTCAAATCTATGTTGTAGGTCTACCCTTTTGGTTAATTTTATTTTGTAGGCTTGAATTTTATTTGATTATATTTTCTGTTGCTAAGGGTTGTTGTAGATACCTCAGATTGTGCATGTATTTTGGATTATATATAGAAGTCATTTTTGAGATTCAATAGTCTTCCGCTTTATAGTGCATTCAATAATAGCTTTGTGTAGTATATAAATTGGAAGTTTCGTTTTAGTATTTCTCCAATTGGTTCTAGCATTCAGTCTTGCCAAAATCGAACTACACGATATGACGTTGTAGTATCGGGCCATATGCCATATCGGGTTAGGTTGTAATATATATGTCCTAAAATTCAGCTCTAAAGTATCAGCGAGAAGCATAAAAAATGGTCGCGGTTGTATCAAATAAATGTGACGAACTGCATGAATAAAATAATCCGAGCATAATAAAAAATAATATAGAAATAAAATTATCTTCTTACAAAGTTTTAAATATAGTGCAACTCTAGGATGAATAATTCTCTTAATGAAGCTATGAATAAGCTATTGGAAAGCACATTGTAGCAATCATCTCTACTTTAGATCATTTAACAAGTGTAAAGGAAATGAGGAGATTGTGTCATATACGCAATTGAATACCCATTATTGAATAACTACTAATCATAAAACATTACAAAATATTCTTTCATTCAGTATCTGGCCTTACTACTATGAAACAATTGTAGGCGGCCTTACAATAAGCTCTTGGTAATGAAATAGTCATAGGTTTCAAGTAGTAGAATAAAAATTGATTTGTAGAGAAGCATATTAGTTACAACACTATCAAAGAAGCCACACTATTGCATAATAAAATCTCATAGCAAATGAAAGAAGATAATAATATTGGACATTAATGCTTTTATACAAGGCAAATGAAGAAGCCACCAAACAAAGAGAGGGACTAATCACCCACTAAAAACATCTCTAATAATACTTGCAGAGGAGAAAAGGTTAGATCCCAAGAAAGGAGGAGATCAGAGACTAATAGATACAAGCAATATCAAATAAGCTTAATATTAAAAACTGTTGAATTTCCAGAATTTCTTAACCAATAGAGCAATCATTATTATAAATTTGTATGATTTACTAACCAATTTCAGAAAATTAATTAATTTTTTCTTATTTTAAAAATAAGTGCTATAAATTTAAATTCATCTCATTTGCTTAGGAGTTTGGCCCTATACAAAGTTTTTTTTTCCTAGAGCAGCAGTGCTGAAGGAAATATAGCTGTGCGATTCATAGGAGGATATTTCAGTAAAATTTGTTTCATTTCTCCCTATTTATCTCTCTCCTCCTTTCTGGTTCTTCGCCAATTCTGCCCATATGACAACCGTGGCATATGCTGTGATTGTTTGCTTGTTCTGACCTCGAACCCCCGACCTTTACTGCCGATCGTTCTAAGGGAATCCGATAACCCCGAGCCTATAAATTTTAATCTGCATCCGATGCGCCTGTCTTCATCTCCAATTCTTTTCCGATTGCTGCATGTGCATACCCTTCACCGGCTTTCTGCTGTAGAAAACCCTACCGGTCATACACCGTGATCAGGCAACGGATTGGGGTGGCGGGACTCACTTCGTCAGGGCGTCCGGCTTCTTTTTTGCCTTGTCTGGTTCCTGAACTGGCGATAACAAATTGAAAAGATGAAGCACAAGAGACGCAGGGTTTCGGAAGTGGTATGCACGTCATTATCAACACTATAATCAACTCCTGGTTCTTGCTTTCCTAATACTATTAGATTGCTAGTCGTTTGGTGTGTGTTTGTTAATCTACATCTTAGGTTTGTCTTATGCCCACTCTACCATACGTTTTCTATCGCCTTTAAGCTACAAAAATATGAGATTTAAAAATGACGATTTAATGCTGATTGTCTTGCATGAATTTTCTTTTCCTTGATCATGTAATTATCTTCTTGTTAGTATGAGTAATTGTGCTACATCTTTATGTTAGATAATGGCTTATGATTTCTAGTTTCACTTGCTATTTGTTTCAAAGGATGTTCTTTCAGTATATTTAATTCTAGTTCCTTTTCTGTTGATGTTTTAGTCGTTATTCCTTTATAGCAATCCTCCTTCAATGTTTGATGAATCTATGCTTTGTTGTGTTTGGCGTGGATTTTGTTATTTTATCTTTCAGAAGCACAAGAAGAATGCAAAGAGAATTATCTTTCTTGGCACTGCTAGTTTCCAGTGAACAATTTCCCCTTTTTGCAATCTATTCTGGCAAATTATTTGTACATTCTTTAGATAAACAATTTTTTTATAAATTTAAATATCTCATGGACAATAGTTGCCTTTATTTTGATGGATTTTGTTATGAATATTTACGAATAAATATTCTTTACTGTTTTTGTGCTGGATAGATTGATTAGATGACATATACTAATTTGCTTTCTGTTATTGGATACATTTTGGTATTGAATGAAAAAAGGAGTTTAGCTTCTTCAAAATCACAGTAGATTATAAATCTTGCAAGTAAGGAAAAGAGTTGATGGTTGATGCAGATATGGCTGGGCCTTCAAATCTAACTTTGGAAGGTTGATTTAAGGAGTTTGATATTTTAGAACAGCTTTATGATTTAGCGGATCTGAGTTAAGGTTTTTTTTCTTACAATTCTAATTAAATTGATTTTTTTTGTTTCTCTTCGAGTTCTTGATTTATGGAGAGTGAGTTGAGAGGTTTTTCTAGTTTTTTATAGGCTGAATTAGTGGTAATTTTTGGTTATAGAATTTTTTTGATATTTCATTGTCAGAATTCATGAGCTTGTTTAGAGGTGGTGGTGATGTGGTATACAAGGACAAATGAACAGATTGTGTGCATCCAGTCAGTTAAGAGAAAGCATACCTTATACTTGTAGAGAGTGAAAGGCTCTCCTTGTTTTCCTTAAAGTAGGAAAGTGAAACTTGCTAGTTGACAGGGGATATATAGTATTTGCATGCCATCTCTCCAAACCCTAATGGTTGCAATGGTTCCCTTTATATTGTTGAGGGGCAATATAAATAACGAAAGATTACACATATCTTATCTATCCTATGGGACATAATATCTAACTTATTCAAGGAATATCACGAGGACATTCTATCTTATCTTGTCAGTTAGTTATGCAAATATAAAATTATTAGAGGATAATGAGATTCCTTTAATTATTCATTCCATCAAGGGGAAAGTAGATCAAGAAAGGAGGATTGATCATAATGCTTGGTTTAGATGATCAGTAGGCTGGTATGGCTCTGGTGTAATTTTGATGTTGTTTTGTCTAATTTTAGGCTTGATGTAGCCAATTTATATAAAAATTCCACATATCGTTGCATAGGATGTAAGTTTTAAGGAAAAAAATAGCTTGCTAACTAACAACAACATCAAGCCTTTATCCCACTACGTGGGGTCGGCTACATGAATCCTTCTTCTCCATTGTGTCCTATTAAAAGTCAAATTCTCGTTTAAATCTAATAAAAAAAGGTCATTTCTAATATTTTCTAACCAAATCTTTTTAGGTCTACCTCTACCTTTCTTAACATAAGTCAAATCTAATACCTCTACTTTCCTAACCGGGTCATCGGAAGGCCGCCGTTTTATGTGACCAAACCATCTAAGGCGACTCTCTCTAATCTTATCTTCTATTGCAGCTACTCCAACCTTTTCACGTATATGCTCATTTCGTATCCTATCTCTAAGGGTAAAGCCACTCATCCACCTGAGCATCCTCATCTCTGCCACACTTAACTTAGTATTATGTTTCTCTTTTAATGGCCAACATTCGGCACCATAAAGCATTGCAGCCTCACCACCATCTTATAGAATTTTCCCTTAAGTTTGAGGGGTACTTTTCTATCACACAACAAGCCCGATGCATTCCTCCACTTCAACCATCTTGCTAACCATTAAAATAAACTTAAACTAAACATAGGTTTTGACATGTTTAAGCCCAACGTCGAACCCATTGACATCCATGGTTCCATAGTTTCATTGAAATTTTCCTTCACCTTAAAATTTTAATGCTCATTGCCGTGTTGCTATTCTTAATTTGCTTATATACAACTTCTCTTCATATTCATTGATAATCTTCTCATATTTGATGTCTTCCTTCAACTTCTCTTATATTTTCCAATCTCATCACCTTCTTGTTCTTAATCCTTCTTTTTCTTGGTATTGTGTTGGAATGCTTTTAATGATTAATGTTGGCTTCAACCAATATCAAAGTAAGGTATAGATTGAAGTTCCTCTAGTTTGATTAATTTCTTTTATGTAAGATATTGGTCAACAAACAACATTTTTTAGTATTACCTCATAATTTTGAGCTTTCTTTATTTTTGTATATATTTTACTCATGTTTATCTTGTCAATTTGTCCAAACAAGCAAGAAATGATTGCATTGATGCCTGTTAAATCCTAGCCTTCCCTTGGCATTTTGATCACATGGCTAGGATGGGAATCCATTGGAGACTCATCTGTTAAATCCTAGCCATCCCTTGGCATTTTGATCCCACGGCTAGGATGAGAATCCGTGGGAGGCTCACCTGGATCACGCCGATCTCCTTCCATATTTAGTTGGCTGATTTGGGAAGGATTATATTAGAGCAATTATGCATGATTTTGTAATTATTTGTTGCTTTATTAAGATATCTTGTATATATTTATAAATAGGAATAATTTTATGTAATAAAATTAAAAGTCTTCCCCCCTCCAATTCTTTGAATTTAACATGGTATCAGAGCCTTCATTGCCATTGCCAGAATTTTGAGTTTTTTGTATTGCTGCGCCTTCATTGCCGCCCTTCCTTTGTTGTTATCCTATCTATAACCAACACAATCTTCATTGCTGCCCTGCTTGATATAGCCTTCATCGCAACCTTTTACTGTCACAATGTCTGAAACAAATTCCTCCCAAAGCTTTGACCAAATGGAAGACTCTGTGATGCACCAAGGTAGAGGAGATCTCAAAAATATGCAACATTCTTGTCGCTTTAATGTGAAGAATTATTTGAAGTGGTTTCAATTTGTGAAGATCTACTTGAAAGGGAAAAGAAAGTTGAATCACCTCCTTGGGATAGGACCAAAAGAAGGAGATCCTAATTTTTGGGCATAGGATGAAGCGGACTCCATGATTATGTCATGGTTGTGGAATTCCATGGCTCTAGAAATTAGTGATACTTTTATGTTCCTATGCCACTCTCCTTCATTGTAAACCTTCTCAAAGCTCGGGATATTGCCCAGATCTTTAAAATTAAGGTCAAGGTGAGAAGCACAAAATAAGGAAGCAAAACTCTAACGGAATATGCCACTCTCTTTCAAAACATATGGCTAGAACATGATAACTATAGATGCATAGAGACCAAGTTTTCAGAAGATGCTGCTATACAACAATAATAACAACCCTTTATCCCATTATATGGGGTCAGCTATATGAATCATTTTTTTTCATTGTGTTATGTTAAGCAACATTTTAAAAGTCGAAATCGGGAATCGAGGCGTTTTGGCTAAGTGAGGCGAGGCGTAAGCCTCGAGGCGGATCGAGGCATAAGCCTAAAAAATGATAAAAATAAAGTAATTAACAGTGCCGAGCATGTACCGCTCGATTAACATGACGCTAATCATTCTTATTGAATAGGGAAGAGAAACGTAAGTAATATTGAAAATGATGAAGATTTGATGTTCATAGATACAACTGGAGAAGAAGATTCCTTTGAAGACCCATTTAGTGATGGGACATGATTGGATTTTGTATGTTCTTTCTTAGTTGTACTTTGAGAGTTTTGATAGACTTATATTTGTGGTTTTGTACTTTGAATTATGCTATGAGTTGCATATATTGCATCTATTTTGTTGGTTTCCACTAATTTCACTTCTCATTTAGATGTTTTTATTATGTGATAGACTTTTACTGTTATTTACCTGCTAGAATAATTTAATTCTCATTTACTCAATTCTTCATCCGTGAGGCTTACGCCTCACCTCACGGACAAAAAATGCCTCGAGGTTTATTTATGCAATTTTAAATCTTGTTTTGAACACATATCCAAACTTATTTGAGGAGCATAAGTGCTTATAATATTAATAATCTTGGCATCAATAACAATCTTTAAAGTTATAATTCTTTCTCCAATTCTATTAATTTTTACAATATTATCCTTCAAAATCTTATTTATAATCATACATATACCACTTCTAGTACGACTCCTACCATAATATCATAGTTTAAATCCTAAACAATCAATTTCTTTAGCCTTCTCTCAAACCCATTTAGTTTTATAAATGTAAAGAATATTATTCCTATGAATCATAATATCTATTAATTTTATTAATTTGCCTATAAGGAAAACTATATTCCAAGTTTTTATCCTAATTTTAGGATTATGGACTAGCTTCTTTGCCCACATTCATCCATGATGTGGGAACTCTTGCCTATTAAGCACTACACCTGGGTGTCGATGCAGCGGCCCTTGCTTATTTGTCACTATATTCAGGCCATACGTTGTGTTGCTTCCAAGGAACATCCTAGCATTAATACAATGTATTAGATGATTCATGTCATGATTATTCGATAAGTTTTACGCTGGCTGTTGACTACCTAACGCAATCGTCCACTTTTCTTATGCACGACTTGGGACCTGACAACGACAATGTTTTACTGAGAAATATAGAATGTATGACTTTCTTGCAGGATGAAATGTAAAATTTGATCAGGTTAGAGTTCAAACCCTTGGAAAAGAGGAGACAACCTCATTAAATGAGACCATTTCTCTCATTTGTGCTGAGGAAAGCCGATGAGGGGTAATGTTAGAGCCAAAGGTAGTTGAAGGTTCAGCAATTGTGTTAACCAAAGAGGTGCCATGGAAGGAAAAATGTAAGGATTCCTCAAAACTTAAAGACAAAGATTTCCTTTGATGTAGTTATTGCAAGAAATCAAGACACACAAAAGAGACATGCTGGAAGATATATGAAAATGCTCCAAATAAGGAGTGTAATCAATTAAGTGGACAAAATGACACAACACAAGCCAACTCTACAACAAATCAGCACAATCCTCCAAATATGGAGTGTAATCAAATAAGTGGACAAAATGACACAGCACAAGCCAACTCTACAACAAATCAGCATAATCCAGAAACGTAGTCCAACTTCAGAGATCTCAATGAAGAAGATATTGATAAACTAAAACAATTTCTAGTATTCCTTGAAAAATCATATGCAACTTCTTCTCTTGCACTTTCAGGTAAGTTTTCTATATCCATTTTATTAAGTGTATCTAGAAATCATTTGAAAGGATTATGGATCATTGACTCAGTAGTCACAAATCACATGATATACTCTACTACCCACTTCATCAATTATACTCCTTGCCCAAGTGATAAGAAAATCATCACTGCTGATGGTTCCATTATCACATTAGCAGGCCAAGGAGACATACCCTTATGTCCCTCCCTCATTCTAAAAAATGTGCTCCACATATCTCAATTATCCACAAGCCTAATCTCTATACAAAAACTTACTAGTGACCATAATGGTCAAGTCTTATTTAATTGATGTTATCTACATTAAATCAATTTAAACCATGAGTACATATGTGGTTACCGTTCTTTGTGACATGCTACAACTAAAATATGGTAGGAACCGAATCCAAAATAGTCTTTTACCCTCTTGTAAGAATTGAATAATGAATCAAATATTTGCAAAACTTCAATTTTAAGTAGATATGATAAAGAGAAGTATGTGCATGTTCTACTTTTCTTGGTGAAACTAATTTTTTTATGAACTACAACTACATCAAACAGCCGAGATGTAAATATTAGGTAAATAATATTTTTTAAATGCTTAATTCATCCAAACAAAGCAAAGAAAAACGGAAGACATTCCTAAAAGTACATATGTGTTCAAGTCTCATTTAATTGATGTTATCTACATTAAATAAATTTAAACCATGAGTACATATGTGGTTACCATCACATTAAATCAAGTTATCTACATTAAATCAATTTAAACCAAGAGTACATATTTCACCACCATCCAAAGAAGACACCAGTTAAGTTGCTGCCTTCACCATAATACCCTACATCACAAATTAATCTAGAAGTAAATGTGATGCATCACTTTGGTGGAACATAGTCCATAATTTCAGTTCTTGAAACAGACTTGTACATTTGATGATAAATTGAAAGACCACAAGAAAAATCATGTATATTTTTACATATAATTACAAAGAAAGCTCATCGAATCTATTCATAATTTGAAGCCAAACATGGTCTATCAAATGTGAAGATAGATTAGGAATTAATTTGATTTAGGAGAAGGCTTGATGATGTCGTGAGCAAGCTATCACTTAGCATCCTTTCAGAAGCTATGATCTTATTTGGCTATGTTGCACATGAAATAAATTAGTGATAATTATTTATCTTCAACTTGATAGTGCGGGATGTCTAAAGTATATAAACTGACTCGCCCTACCCGTGAGTTTCATCTCAGCAAAACTAACATTCTTAGCCTCGGAGATGTTATACTACTTAAAGAAACTATCCATACCTTTGACCCAGTCCAGGAAGAGCTGAGGATCGAGTGTGCCATCAAAGGTAGGAGCGTCAACTTTAATATTTTTCATGAGTGGTAGATCAGGATCATGACGTGTGTCATGTCCATGGTAAGGTACTCGATGATTGGCACGATGCTGCCTCTCATCCAAATCTAGATCATGATGTGGGTCATATCCGTGATAGGGAGCTCGATGATTGGCACGATGTTGCCTCTTATTCGGGTAGGTCTCATCCTAATACATAGAAGGTGGTCTAGATGGGGTGTAGGGAGTAGGGTGCTCTCTAGCTCGCTCAAGTGTGTCAAATCGCTCAGTGGTGTTCCTACGAAGTTCAACTAGGTCGGCTTGATTTTTCTTGAGTTGGTGGCTAATGTTGTTCATTTGACATACCAACAAGTCTAAGGTCCTTCCTAGTTGTTCTGGGTCCATTGGGATCTACTACGAGACACCTAAGGTGACTAGGATGTAACGGGAAGTAGGTTATATGATTTGTTCACACTTATGCTATGCAAAATGATAGAGAAAACAAATAGGGCAGCAACCTAACACTTCTAAATGACACAAATGTAATAACTGAGATGCTGAAGTAAAACCTACCAGGGATCCTAACACATGCAAGAGCAAACCATGCTCTGATACCAGATGATGCAGGACATATATGAAAATTTGATTTAGATAAGGAATTTGCACGCTTAATGAGTGGGAGCGAATTAATTAAGGCTTTGTGTTGACTCAAACAAAGAAATAAAACCAAAGAACGGTAAACACAAGTTTTTGTATAGAGATTATTTAATTGATGTTATCTACATTAAAGTCAAGTCTGTGGAAGGTGGGACTAGGGTTTATGTGAACAAGCGAGTATGAGAATAGCTTGATTTGAAAAACAATTGATGAATAACGTGAGTCAAAATAGGCGGTTTTAATGTAATATTGAATTAGACCAATATAAGTAAAGACGATGAATTGAAAAGTGCTTAATATGTCCCTTCTATCTATATCAGGCGAAACTTGGTCCGTATTTGAGTTGGATTTTGTTAAGACATAGCTTGGATGCAAGATTGAGTATGATAGACATGTGTTGGGGCATGTGAGAGGCGTGTGCTTGTTTGAAACATATCCAACATGGATATGAATGTTATTTTAATGTGTTCGTGCTTTACAGTAGTTTGTTCATTCCAAAGTCATCTTGGGTGTAATAAGATAAGTCCTCAGATACGTACTTCCGTGTAATTGTTTCTTTTGAATATTGTGCTGTGTTTCTTTGTCAGCGCAAGGACTAGATCATTGACAAAGGTGCAATAAACCACAGCAAGCCCAGCAATTACTGCAGCTTGGTGTTCATTCTGGGACATGATGTCACTCTTTCTGATACGCAAGGGTTATTGGAGAGTGAAAATTGCATGATTTAATTCACCTTTGTTTGTATGATTTATGGCTTAGAATAGATGAGCAGAATAAAAATCTGGCTTACGTGTTGAATTGGAAGTTTTGATTGCTTTTTTTTTTTGGGAGGGGGAAGGGGCAGGGAGTTTTGAACTAATTAAGACCCACACACACCACATAAGCAACTTTGAATTCAAGACCTCTTGGTTGGTAGCCAATTAAGATAAGCTGCATTGATTGCTTACATCAAACACTAAACAAATACCATGTTACTGTTGCTATACTGCTGGATTGTGTTTTTGAAGATATTTCATCTATTTTTTAACTTCATTTATTTCTGTTTTGAACTTCTTTTCTTAAGCAAATGTTTAGGTGCTACTGTTTTCACTTTCCCAAGTGCATATGGAATGTTCTAATTTCCTATTAAAAAGTTGGTCTTTTCCGAAGTTCTTTTAAAATTAATTATGTAGATTATTTTCTGGCAGCTTTAAATGTTGTTAATGATTATGTTTCCTTATATATATTTTTTTTCAGCCTCCAAAAATAAGATCTTTTATCAGAAGTGTGACATCTTTTACATTAGAGAATATAGAAGAGCCATTGAAAGGCTTCGTATGGGATTTTGAAAAGGTTTGATTCTAAATCTTGTATGTGGACTTCTTATTTACTGATTCTCTGATCAAGTTTTTTTGGCAGGGAGATTTTCATCACTGGGTTGACCTTTTTAATTATTTTGATTCGTTTTTTGAGAAGTACATAAAACCGAGAAAAGATTTACAGCTTGATGACAATCTTCTTGGAGCAGACCCTCCATTCCCAAGAGAAGCAGTACTGCAAATTCTCAGGGTGGTTCAAGTCATCTTGGAGAATTGCTCAAATAAGCACCTCTATAGTTCTTTTGAAGTACGCAGGAAGTATCTCGTTGTTATACTTATATTTTTTTCAGCCAAGTTTTTTAATTATGGAGATTGTGTACTGAATGTAAATACTCATTGAAAATTTAACCTAATAATTACTGTACCCCCATATTTATATATATAATCTTATGCAATCCGTGCTTTATCTGTTTTAATGTAAATTTAGTCTGATTCAGTTGACCTTTCTTATTTCAGCAACATCTCTCGTCTCTATTAGCTTCAACTGACGCAGATGTTGTTGAGACAAGTCTTCAAACATTGGCTGCATTTTTGAAGAAACCTGTTCGGAAATGCTCAATTCGTGATAGTTCTTTGACTTCAAAGCTATTTTCTTTTAGTCAAGGTTGGGGGAGCAAAGAAGAAGGTCTTGGATTGATTGCATGCGCTCTCAAGGATGGTTGTGATCCTATTGCATTTGAAGTTGGCGCCACAGTTCATTTTGAATTTTATGTAGTTCCTGAATTATCTCAAAGCTCTGGTGGCACAGAGCATTTATGCCAGGGGTTGCAGGTTATTCATTTGCCTAACATTGATGAATGTAAAAAGAGCGACCTTGAGCTGTTGGATGAATTGGTGAAGGAGAAGAATGTGCCTCATAATCTACGCTTCTCATTATTGACAAGATTGAGATTTGCACGGGCTTTCAATTCTTTGGCCGCCCGACACCAATATATCTGTATACGATTATATGCTTTTATGATTCTTGTTCAAGCAAGCACTGATACTGATGATTTGGTGGCATTTTTTAATAATGAACCAGAATTTGTCAGTGAGCTTGTATCCTTACTTAGCTATGAAAGTGAAGTTCCCGAAATGATTCGGGTTTTGGGAATACTGTCATTGGTTGCTCTTTGCCATGATCGAGCTCGCCAATCTACAGTTTTGACCTCAGTTACGACTGGTGGACATTGTGGAGTTCTTCCTAGTTTGATGCAGAAGACAGTAGATTATATTGCCTGTGGCTCTGGTGAAGTTTCAATGGTTTTTGCTGGTGCTCTTCTATCTCTCGTCTCTGTTTTGGTTTCTTCCACTCCTGGTTCATTAGCTCTGCAGGAGGCTGGATATATTCCCACTATTCTACCCCTCCTTAAAGATACTGAGCCAAAGCATCTCCAACTTGTCAGTACTGCAGTGCACATTATAGAGGGCTTCTTGGATTTCAATAATCCTTCCGCTGCGTTATTCAGAGATTTGGGTGGCTTCGATGATACAATTACACGCCTGAAGATTGAAGTTGCCTGTGTTGAGAATGGTTCAAAAAGAAATGCAGAGGGCGTTCTATCTCATAGCAAAGGAAAACAAATAATTGATTCTTCTGAAATTGATACGCAGCCTCATAGCTCTGAAGCCTCAATTTCTTATCAGAGGAAGTTACTAATTAAAGCATTGCTTCGTGCAATATCACTTTCGACTTATGTCCCTGGTAGCTCTGCTCGAATTGATGGTTCTGAAGAGAGCATATTGCCTCATTGCTTATGTATTATCTTTCGAAGGGCAAAAGATTTTGGTGGTGGAGTTTTCTCACTTGCTGCAACTGTTGTGAGTGATCTTATACACAAGGATCCCACATGTTTTCCTATCCTTGATGCAGCAGATTTGCCTCAGGCCTTTCTTGACGCCATCATGAATGGTGTACTTTGCTCTGCTGAAGCTGTAGGGTGTATACTGCAATGCTTGGATGCATTATGCTTGAACAATGCAGGTCTGCAACTTGTGAGGGAACAAAATGCACTGAGGTGTTTTGTGAAAATATTTACTTCACGGTCATATCTAAGGGCTCTCAGAGGAGATATTCCAGGTTCTTTGTCTACTTCTCTTGATGAGCTAATGCGTCATTCATCTTCACTTCGTACTTCTGGGGTTGATATGCTTGTTGAGATCTTGAACACAATAGCAAATGTTGGATCCATGTCAGAATCTAATCATTGTTCTGAATTTTTAGCCTCTTCCACACTCGTTCCTATGGAAACTGATCCTGAAGATAAGTCTGTTTTGTCTAGTGAAGGAGAATTTTGCAGGTTAGCTAGCTCAGAGCAGTTCATAGATGTATCATCAGATGCTATTTCATTGAGTGTAGAGTCTTTTGTTCCTGAGTGCATCAGCAATACTGCTCGGCTTCTTGAGACTGTTCTTCAGAATGCTGAAATTTGTCGCTTGTTTATTGAGAAGAAAGGCATTGAATCTATTCTCAAATTGTTCTTGCTTCCCTCTATACCTATTTCTTTTTCCATTGGGCAGAACATATCTGTTGCGTTCAAGAATTTTTCACCTCAGCATTCTGCTGCATTAGCTAGAGCTGTTTGTTCCTTTGTCAGGGAACATCTTAAGTTGACTAATGAATTGCTTGACTCACTCTCTGGATCTAAGCTCACTGAGGTTGAAAGTGAAAAGCAGATGGCGGTATTAAAATGCATGTGCACTCTAGAAGGACTGTTATCACTTGTCAATTTTCTTTTAAAAGGAACAACAGCTATGATATCTGAATTAGGTTCCTATGATGCTGATATCTTGATAGAGCTGGGGAAAGCTTACCGAGAGGTTCTATGGCAGATTTCGCTATCTAGTGACTCCAAAGTAGATGAAAAGCAAGATGCTGATCATGAGGTTGGCATAGGAGACACATCCATATCTACTAATGCCGAAAGAGAGAGTGATGATGATGGAAGCACTGCACCAGTTTTCAGATATAATAATTCATTATCAATTCAGAACAACAATACGTCTCATTGGAATACAGAACATGAGTTTGTCTCTTATATTCCTACATCTACTGCTCGAAACATTCATCGGCATGGTCGGCATAACTTTTCTCGGATGCGTGGCAGCAGATTGAGTCGTAATATGGATATTTCACAATCTGATTCAGATGTTTCTGCAAATAGCTTGAATAATTTACTTTTGGTTGAAAATAAGAAGAAAAGTCCGATTGTTCTTGTTTCGGAAGTTTTGCTTAAACTTAGCTTTGCAATCCATTCTTTCCATGCAACCCTTGTGAAAGGATTGAGTTCTCGTCGCAGAACTGATTCAAGTTCCCTTACTCCGACTTCTAAAAGCCTTGTGACAGCTCTTGCGAAAGTTTTTCATGATGCTCTTACTTTTTCAGGACATTTTTCTGCTGGGCTTGAGACGCCCTTGTCAGTAAAATGCCAATACCTTGGAAAGGTTGTACAGGCAATGGGAATGCTTGTCTTTGATAGCAGGCGCCGTGCATGCAACGCTACTCTTGTGAATGGTTTTTATGTAAATGGAACTTTTAAGGAGATTTTAACTACATATGTGGCCACCAGACAGTTACTCTGGACTTTGCCTTTTTCTTTTCATACTCCTGCAGGTGAACATGGAACTTCTGCAGATGGGAACATATCATCCGAGAGTTCATGGCTGCTTGATACTTTGCTGAGCTATTGCAGCTTGCTGGAATATCATGTCAACTCTTCATTGCTGTTATCTCCATCATTACCATCCCAATCCCAACTTCTTGTTCAACCTGTTGCTACTGGCCTATCAATCGGTCTGTTTCCTATCCCTAGAGACCCTGAGGCATTTGTCCGCATGCTTCAGTCACAGGTTCTTGATGTGATCCTTCCTTTATGGACCCATCCTATGTTTCCTAACTGCAGCCCAGCCTTGATCAGTTCTGTGGTTTCCATTGTCACACATATATACACCGGTGTAGGAAACATAAAACATGGTCATGGCATGGCTGGAAGTACCGCTCAGCGAATTAACACCCGTCCAATTGATGAATCTTCTATTGCTACTATAGTCGAGATGGGATTTTCCAGGGGGCGAGCGGAAGAAGCTTTGAGAAATGTGGGCACAAATAGTGTTGCAATTGCTACAGATTGGCTGTTTAACCATCCTGAAGAATTTGTTCAGGAGGATGTGCAGCTGGCGCAAGCTCTTGCTTTGTCTCTAGGAACATCCTGTGAAACATCTAAGGATGATGGTGGTGATGAGACAAAGAATGTATTCACAGAAGACAAAGGAGCAGATATACCACCTTTTGATGAGATAATGTCTGTTTCAATAAAGTTATTCCAAGTCAGCGATTCAATGGTATTTCCCTTAACGGATCTATTAGTGTCACTGTGCAATCGTAACAATGGAGAAGACCGGCAAAAGGTGGCCTTGTATTTTATTGAGCAACTGAAGCGCTGCTCATCAGATTTTTCTGAAGGCATGGGTACTTTATTTCCAATCTCACATATATTGGCCTTACTTTTGAGTGAAGATAGCAGCATGCGAGAAATAGCTGCAGAAAATGGATTGGTCTCTGCTAGCATAGATATCCTGGAAATCGTCAGAGTGAGGAATAACCTTAACACTGAGGCTGTGATAACCAAATCTGTGAGCGCTTTGCTGCTTATATTGAATTGCATGTTGCAGCATAAAACGAAGGTTCCAGAAGAAAGTTCTGATGGTTTTTCCAAATTACTGCCAGATTCATCAAAAGTAGATGTCTCCTTACCAGTTTCAGCCTCTGTTGAGGATATGAAATCTCCTTCAGAATGCCTGGAGAAAGAACCTGGCGATCTGTTTGAAAATATCTTGGGGAAGTCCACTGGATATTGTACCATGGAGGAGAGTCAAAGAGCAATGGCGCTTACTTGTGATTTCATTAAGCAGCACGTAACTGCAATGATTATGCAGGCTGTTTTACAACTATGTGCTCGTTTGACAAAGACATATGTTATAGCAACTCAGTTTCTTGAAAGCGGAACCTTGGCTGGCCTTTTCAACCTTCCAAAAAGTTGTATATTCCCTGGGTTTGATACCTTGGCATCCGCTATTGTTAGGCATCTTCTTGAAGATCCTCAAACTCTGCAGACAGCTATGGAATCGGAGATAAGACAGGCTCTTTCTGGAAGCCATAACAGGCATACTACACGTCTTTCTCCTAGATTATTTTTGACATCAATGGCACCTATGATTTCTAGAAATCCAGCAATTTTTATGAGAGCAGCTGTTGCTGTTTGTCAATTGGAGTCCTCGGGAGGGAGGACAACAATAGCGTTAACAAAGGAAAAGGATAAAGACAAGCCAAAAGCTGTTGCTGAAAATGGAACCCCTATTAATGAACCCTTAAGGTTACCTGAAAATAGATTAAATGATACTAATGCTAAATGCACTAAAAGTCATAAACGTGTCCCTGCCAGTCTCGCACAGGTAATTGACCAGCTTTTAGAAATAGTTATGAGTTATCCACCAAAGAAAATACATGAAGACATCACTAGTTCTTTTAGCCCAATGGAAGTTGACAAGCTTGTTGTGAAGGACAAAGGAAAATCAAAGGTTGATGATATTAAGATTGACCCTGATAGCTTCTGTGAAGAATCCGCCTTGCTTGCAAAGGTGACTTTCGTCCTCAGGTTGATGAGTGATATACTTCTCATGTATGTGCATGCAGTTGGCGTAGTACTGAAACGGGATTCTGAAATGTGTTCTTTACGGGGACCTGGACAAGGGAGTAGCACTGGCTATGGAGGTGTTATATATCATATATTGCATGAGTTACTTCACATATCTTCAGAAAAAAATAATGAACATGAGTTAAGGGGGAAGTTGTCGGAAAAGGCTTCATGGTTCTTGGTAGTTTTGTGTGGACGTTCTATGGAGGGACGCAGGAGAGTTATTGCTGAAATTGTGAAGACATTTTCTTCTTTCTCAGTGTTGGAAAGGAACTCTAAAAGCATTTTGTTTCCGGACAAGAATGTTCTTGTGTTTGTCGAGTTGGTCTATTCTATATTATCCAAAAATTCTTCTAACAACTTGCCTGGTTCTGGGTGCTCCCCAGACATTGCTAAAACTATGATAGATGGTGGAATGGTACAAGTGCTTTCTAGTATCATTGGGTGTATAGATCTGGACCATCCAGATGCTCCTAAGATTGTCAATGTGATACTCAAGGCATTGGAGTGTCTAACAAGAGCTGCTAATGCTAGTGATCAAGTGTTTAAGGTTGATGGACCGAATAAGAAAAGATCTAGTGGTGCACATGAAAGAAGGGAAGGACACAATAATACTAGTACTGGAACCGCTAACCATGACCAGAATATGAATCCGCATGGTACTGCTGTTGTCCAAATTGAAGAGCAACTGATTGAAGATTTTCATCATAATGGTGGGCATCTGAATAATGCAAATATAAGTCAAAACATTGAGCATGATATGCGAGTAAATAGGGAAGAGCATTCTGCTAACCCCACTACAGATAGGGTACAATTTGTGCATCAGGAAATCAATGAACGTGGTGTAATTCAGAACTCAAATGATGTTGGCTTGGATTTTCGAATTGAACAACGCATAGATGATGAGATGGCTGATGAAGATGATGATATGGGGGATGATGGAGATGATGATGATGAAGATGATGAGGAAGATGATGAGGAAGATGAAGAGGACATGGCAGAAGAAGGACCTGGTTTAATGTCTCTAGCTGGTACTGATGTGGATGACCATGATGACAGTGGGTTGGTTGATGAATACAACAATGATATGATTGATGAAGAAAATGATGATTTCCCTGAGAACCATGTTATTGAAGTAAGGTGGAGGGAGGGATTAACTGGTTTAGATCATTTGCGAGTTTTAAGAGGATCTGGAAATGCTAGTGGTTTCTTTGATATTGCTTCCGAGCCATTTCGTGGGGTAATTACAGATGAAATATTCAGTTTTCAACGTTCATTGGGAATTGATAGGCGGCGCCCAAGTGGTAATAGGACTTTTGTTGATAGGTCAGGTTTTGATGTGAATGCTTTCCAACATCCATTACTTCTGAGGCCTTCTCCATCTGGTGAGACAGGTAACTCAATTTGGCCATCAGCTGGAAGCACTTCCAGAAATTCAGGAACATTGTCATTTGGAAGTGCTGATTTATCCCATTTATACATGTTTGATTCTGGCCTCTCATCTGAGCATGCTGCTGCAACGTTAATTGCTAATAATTTAGTTGGTTCTGCGCCACCTTTCATTGATTTGTCTTTTGGCATGGACTCCCTGCAAATGGGGCTGAGAAGGGGAACTGCTGATAATCGGTGGACAGATGATGGTCAACCTCAAGCAGGTAGCAATGCTGCTGCTATTGCACAAGCTGTTGAAGAACAATTTGTATCTCAGTTACGTGGCATAGTTTCTGTCAGTAATCCTCCCACTCAGAGGCTATCTGAGCATTCTGTAGGACAAATTAACCAGTCAACATTGTTTATTTCCAATAACCAGACACTATCAAGAATAGAAAGTGATCCTTTTGAACCAGGTGAATTTCAGCATCAGGAAACTGGATATGAATCAGCTCAGAGGCTAGAGAACGTAGTTTGTGAAGATCCTTCTATTCCTTCTCAGGGAGAAGCAGATTGCTCTGTTGCTGGAATTATTGAGAATGAGAGTGCATTGGAAGCAAGGCAAATTGTTTTTCATGATCCAAATGTTTCTGCTGTTAATGCCCCTGAGAGGTTTCTTGGCTGGAATGAAGTTGGGCCAACCACCCTGCCTTCAGATATCGTTCCTGAAATGGTCATGTCTTCTGCTGATTTGCACGATGATCAGCGAATGCCATATGATTCCGAAATACTTCCAGGTCCCCAGGGCACAGAATCACATATTGAATCTCGACCAGGAAATAATGTCTTTGATAGTCATTCTAGTAGCCAAGCAGTCATTGATTCAGGTTCATTAATGCCCATCTTAAGTGATGACCGTGCTGGCTCAAGTCATGAGAGTGCTGGTTTAGATATGAATGCTACGGAAAATGTTGGGAATCAAGTTGATAGTGTGGTTCCTACTTCTAATGGAGAACTATCAAACATGCATGATACATCTATTCCTCAGGAAGCCAGTCAAAATCAAGGGATTATTAATAACGAGTCTTCTAGTATGAACGGCATTGACCCCACATTTTTGGAGGCACTTCCTGATGATCTCCGTGCTGAAGTATTAGCTTCACAGCAAGCTCAATCTGTTGGAACTTCTACGTACGCTCCCCCTGCTGCAGAAGAGATAGATCCTGAGTTTTTGGCTGCACTCCCCCCAGATATCCAAGCTGAGGTTTTGGCTCAACAACGGGCACAAAGAGATGGACATGGGCAGCATGCTCAAGGTCAGCCAGTTGACATGGACAATGCTTCTATTATTGCCACCTTCCCTCCAGAACTGCGTGAAGAGGTAACATTTTCAAATTACTGTAGATAGGGAACGCTTGTCTCTCATGGAAAACCCAATAATAGATACTTGGAACTCTTGTGGCCAATGATTAGTTGGGGAATTGGCAGGCTTGCAATTTCTTAACATTATACTTATGGCCTATTTCTCCAATCGGTGGCAGCTCACATGGAAACATCTTGCAAGCTTTCATGGGACCTACGAGGGCCAAATATCATATTTATTTTCCTTCAATTAAGTGAATTCTTCTTTCTTAATGTTTGTAAGCTAAATCTTTTTTAATGTTTTGCAGGTTCTCCTGACTTCGTCTGATGCTGTCCTTTCAGCATTACCTTCAGCTTTACTGGCCGAGGCTCAAATGCTCAGGGATAGAGCAGCAAGCCATTACAGTGCTCGCAGTAGCCTCTTTGGTGGAAGCCAAAGACTTAGCAGTAGGAGGCCGACTGTTGACAGACAAACAATTATGGATAGAGGAGCAACAATAGGTCCAAGACCAGCTTCGGCAATTGCTAGCAACCTGAAAGTTAAAGAAATCGAAGGGATGTCTCTTGTGGATGTAAATTCATTGAGATCTTTAATTAGACTCCTAAGAGTAGCTCAGGTAATGTGCATGTTTTAACATGTTTATGCAATTAATAAATTATTAACATTAGTATGATCTTTGTATGAAATTTTTGTTAGTTTAAAATTAATTTAGTACCTTGAACTTATCATAATGTAGACAGATTGTTGTTGTTTTTGGCAAATTGAACTAGATCCCACATATTTATGATAATGTGCAACCACGTCCTTCAGGAACTTTTCCATTTGTGGCACATCTAGAATGGTAAGTTTACCTTTCTAAAACAATCAATTATGTTCAGAAATCCAACAAAGTCAGTTGATGTAGTGGATTAATTTGATATGTTTCTCATGTCTTTTCATGTTGTTTGTTATTATTTATGTTATGAGAAACTTCAAAATAGTACCTGACAATTAGTAAGTGTCCAATTTAGTCTCAAAATTTTGCACTATCCTAATTTAATCCATTGACCATTGAAAATTGATTCAACTTGGTCCCTCCGGTAGAAAATCCATCACCATGAAAAATCATGCAGAACTTCCGTTTTCATAATGTGAGGGGGCATTTTATTATAAACATTTAAATTTTTTATTTTTTTTTACAATGCCATAGCTCATTACATTCTGGAACCATCTTGTGCGACTGTGAGATCAAGCAATGAATGATTGCAGAGTTCTAATTGAGAGCGGTGAAGCATCTGCGAGCAACCAAGGTTTGCGATCGTGGTGCGAGGGACAAAGTTTGACATGTGAATCAACATCTTGAACGGATGTGAGCAAGATTTTGAGCAGCGAATCAACGTCTCGAGGGGTTGCGAGCCGGATTTTGGAGCACATCATTACTTGATTTTTTTTTTGTAACGGGAGCTTTTGAGTTTTGTAGCGAATAATATCTTTCATCTTACTATGTGTTAGTGGTGAGTGTGTTTTAGTCATTTCACTATAGCCTCTCTCAATGTATACAAGGGTTAAATTTTTGAATGAATTGATGATGAATAATATGAGTTTATGATGATTTGGGATCCGTGTAGTAGGTTTTTCATGAACTCTTCTTCATTGTCTTGGCTGGTGCCAAAAGCCTCCTCCCCCCTCCTTCGGTATGTGCCACTGACTTCTTTTTCCCTTGGTTGATTTTAAATCCTCTCCTTACAAATTCAATATATTTGTCCTTACGAAGAAAAGGTGGATTCCTTGTTGTGCATTTTTTTTTCATTCCTCAACTCCCTCTATTATTCTCGTATACATACAAAGATACTTTCACACTCTTTCCTCGATGCATCCCACCCATTGATTGATATTAGTGGGGTGTCAATGTTTGGCATCACATCATTTCATCTTCTTCTTTCTTCTCTCTCTTCCCCCTCAACTTGAATTCATTTCATTTTACCTCCTCTCTCTCTCTCTCTCTCTCTCTCTCTTAAAACTCTCTCTCTTCCTCTTTCTTCTCTAACTCTCTCATATGGTTTGGGGTGGAAAAAGAGGGTTGCCCATCTACTTTCACTTTGATTTTCTCCATCTTCCAATCTTTATATCTAATACTATGATTAATCAAGAGTAAATTATAATTTAGTTAAATTGTGGAAGTTATATGCAACTTTTTTTTGGATCATGAGGGAGGTTGCCTATTTTCTATAAATTATAAAACGCTCTTGAAGCAACGATTAATATTTTGTTATTTATTTAATAATTTACAAATTTTCAGGATGGATTCTCTCTGTTTTATACTTCACAATAGATGCTAATTTATTTAAGCGACCAACAAAAATTATTAAAGCTTGAAGCACTAATTAAAGTTAATTGACATAAAACTTGAAGTCCATGATACAATCAATAAGACCAAAACTAAGCCTACTTTAAAAGCATTTAATTTGCAAACTTTAAAATCTTCATGTATTAGAAAACGTTGATCATCATCATCATTAGTTAACATCTTTTCAACTGCTTGGGAGTAGCTTTATGAATTCTTATTTTGCATTCATTCCTGTGTAGTGGAAGTACTTTTAAATAAATTCTATTGATGTTACATTATATTTCTATTCCTTTCTAATCTTTAACACAAATTTTATTAGCATGCTAAATAGGTATATATTGAACCATTCATTGTACATGTCCAACAACAACAACAACAACATCAAGCCTTTATCCCACTACGCAACATCAAGCCTTTTATCCCACTACGTGGGGTCGGCTACATGAATCCTTTTTCTCCATTGTGTCCTATTAAAAGTCAAATTCTCATTTAAATCTAATAAAGAAAGGTCATTCCTAATATTTTCTAACCAAGTCTTTTTAGGTATACCCCTACCTTTCTTAACACAAGTCAAATCTAATACCTCTACTCTCCTAACCGGGTCATCGGAAGGCCGCCTTTTTATGTGACCAAACCATCTAAGGCGACTCTCTCTAATCTTATCTTCTACTGGAGCTACTCCAACCTTTTCACGTATATGCTCATTTCGTATCCTATCTTTAAGGGTAAAGCCACTCATCCACCTGAGCATCCTCATCTCTGCCACACTTAACTTTGTATTATGCTTCTCTTTTAATGGTCAACATTCGGCACTATAAAGCATTGTAGGCCTCACTACCATCTTATAGAATTTTCCCTTAAGTTGCAGGACATCTCATTGTACATGTCCAAGGCACTTAATTCTATTATCAACTACCTTATTTTCAATAGATACTACTTAAGCCCTCTCTTTAATATAATAATTTATTGGCTTATCTTTCATCGTTTTTTTTTCTCCTTTATGTATACATCTTAATATTTTCATTTTCCTTGCACTCAATTGAGCATTCAATGACTTCTTTATTGCTAATATTTAAGTTCATATAATGTATTTAGTTTGATTATAGTTTTATAAAATGTACCTTAAAGTCTCGACAACATCCTTTGATAACATAACAATCCTAAGGTTCTTCATTTTAACCATGCACTCTCAACTCTAAAAGTTATATGCTCATCCAATCTTCATTCTTTTATATATGTGATCCAAGATAATTAAGCCTATCACATCTATATATCACTTTATCTTCCAATTCTATTGGCTAACATAAAAAATTGATGAAATTATTTAAACTGAAATTTAAAATTCAAATGCTAACCCCAATAGAAATTAGAAAAGATTTTATTTATTTATTTATATATTGCTTTTATAGGGACTTGACAAGAATTGTTGGCCTATTGTTTGAAGACTAATTTCAATATTATTTCTTAGGAATTTTGTACCATCAAGTTTATTGACTTTAAGTGAAAAACAAAAATTGAGTCAATAGGAAAGATTACTTCATATTTAGAGCATAAGTTCTTTACTTTGATGAAATAACATTAAGCTGTTTGGGAAAATTCATAATTTACGGTCCTATTAGCATATGTATGATTAAAATCCTTGGTTTCGTCCTTCAATAAACTATAGCATGATCTGTGTTTTGTGATTTGGTAATGTGTAGTCATGTAAAAAAAATGTTATGAAATAGTGTATACAATCAATCATTTTCTTTTATGACTATCTTTAATTATTTACCCTACCACTAGTTCATGAATTGACAATTTGCATTTTCTGTGATGAATTTGTAAAATATTTAATATCATGGCTCTAAATAGTTGGAGTTTCATTGATACAAATTACTGCTTTTCGCTTTCTTAAGATTCGGTCCATTCTAATTTGTTAAGCTTATGAAGGATAAAAAAAAAAATATTCTGGTGCATGAGCATCCGCTAATATAGGGCCTGGGAAGGGATTTATGCATTCAGCTTTAACCCTACATTTGTAGAGAGGCTATTTTCATGAATTAAATTTGGGGCGTCCATATTACAATATAAATAACTTTAACAAGTGCTCGAGGCTTGCCCTCTGAACCATTCTAACTTGTATGACACATTTTTTTTGTTAGCTAAGGGAAAATCCTCTTGGGTTTGTTTACTTTACTTGTTATGTTGTCTAAAAAGGTTTGTGATAGGAAATACTTGAGTTCGCAAGTAATCATATCGGATCTACTTGAGTTCGCAAGCAAACCTAACAATAATCGGTAAAAACAGCGAGAAAATGTAGAAATCGTTGTGGAAGAACAATCAAACGATAGCAAATTCTTATAGAAAATAAAGGGAAACAAGAACAAAGCAAGATATAAGAGATCCTCAATTCGAGAGGAGGATCGTCTCTCCCAAATCTCTTGACAAGAGAGTCTAGAGCCCAAATGCCAATAAACCCTAATTTCAATCAATCAAAACATCCTCTCTCCTAATCTCTCTCATCCCCTTTAATACAAGATCTTTCATAATTTAATTTCCCTACCAAGCCCTAGCCGCCCACTCGAATTTCGCTTTGTTTGGAATAGTGGGGGCCCGCCCCTTTGGGTGGAAACAGAAGAGGAGACGGAAGGAGTCCACCTCCTGTAAACAATTTGAGCCGGCCCCCCATGGTCTAGCTGGACCGGTTCACTGTGAACCGGTCTAACAGTTTGCTTGGACAACATAATTTTTAGCAACATGAAACAATAGGCGGATTAAGTCAGTGACTTCTTTTGTTTGTTCAAATGAAACATTCTATTTTATTGCTTAAAGTAGATGAAGGGGAGCCTAATTGCCCTAGTTTGATATATCATTTTTTGAATTCTTCTGGCAGCCATTAGGGAAAGGCCTTCTCCAGAGACTTATGTTAAACCTATGTGCACATAGCATCACACGCGCTACTCTGATTATCCTTTTAGTTGATATGATACAACCAGAAGCTGATGTGTTAACTGGATCTATAAGTTGCTCTCAGCGTCTCTATGGATGCCAGTCGAATGTTATTTATGGACGGCCACAACCTTCAGATGGTACTTGTTCATTGGATAGCTCTACTTGTTTTTTTTTCTTTTTTTACATTATCTTCTGTTATATTAACTTCTTTTTAAATTTTCTTTCTTTACCAAAAAGGTCTTCCACCATTGCTGTCACGTCGTGTTCTTGAGATGTTAACTTACTTGGCAACAAACCTTTCTTCTGTAGCGAGCATTCTTTTCAATTTTGATCCTTTGTTGCCTTCTGAATCTTCAACATTCAACACCAGTTTGGACATCAAGAAAGACAAAACTAAAGAAAGAACATGTTTACTGAAAGATTCTTTATCCTTAGAGTCTTCTCAAAAGGGTGATGCTCCTCTAGTATTATTTTTGAAGCTTTTGAATAAACCTTTATTTTTGCGTAGTAATGCGCATCTTGAGCAGGTAATCTCAACTTTTCAGTTTATATTCAATTTTATCATTGAATGTAGTTTCGCATTGTGTTACATTTACGTTTATTGTGCAGGTCATGGCTTTGATACAAGTTATAGTTGATAGTGCTGTGGCAAAAATTAATTGTCATCCTCCATCTGTGATAGCAGCAGGTAGGTCTGAGACTCAGGCAGATAGCACTCCATCAAACAGTCTGAGAGATTCCACCATCTTGGAGCAGAATCATGATCAAGATGATAATCCAAGCTCCAGCAATTACCAGCCCAACGGTGATGGGGAAGAGTTATTTAGTGCACATAATACATTTTTGCAACTCCCTAAGCCTGTTTTATGCAATCTGTGCAGTATTCTTGCTCATGCAGGGTAAATTCTTGAACCTTTCTAGGGACAATCTTGATTCTGGGTTTTCAACGTGTTTATGAACTCAATTTATGTTTTGATAGATATTCCTTCTAGAATGATGTTTGTGCATATCACTTATGAGTTATTTATCTACAGATATCATTTCCTCAAACAGACACTTCTTCATAATTTGTTGCTAAATTTTATGTTATACCCCTTATAAATGTCAAAGTTAAGCCATCTTAATGTAGTTTGCGCCCTTGATTCTCTCTCACATCTTTTTTAGCTTATATTTGGAGAAGATTTCTGTAAGTGTAACCTTTATTAATATGATGTTTTTGGGTTTCATGGTGGTTATGGAGTCAGAGGACAATTGTGCTATTAATATGAAGCTCCCTACAAAACAAATATTATCAATTTTAAGATTATTCAAACAAGCCACCAAGATATAAATAGAATATCTACCCTTTATTCCATACAAATTTAATCTGATTAAGGTATGAAATAAAATTATTTTCTCTAAGTTAAATGATTTTGAAAAGAAGAAAAGTCCTGATAAATAGTATTCCATTATTCTGTGATCATTTTATTTGAGGTTGTGCAAGTTACGTTTAGGCTTCTTTGAGATAGCTTTCTTACTATTTTGATTTTTAGATTACAACCACAATTTCTATTTGGTTATTGCTTTTTCGATGCTTTCAAAAAAAATTTGTGCTACGAAGTTGCTTTCTACAATAGCTTTTAAAAAGTTCCTCTTGTTTGAGCTCTCGGCGTTTGTTAGCGCGTACACTCTTTCTCTTTCTTTGTTGATCTGCTCTATGTTATCTCTCTCTCTCTCTCTCTCTCTCTCTCTCTCTCTCTCTCTCTCTCACACACACACACACACGTGAATTGGAGGTTGTATGAATCATGAAAATAATCAATTTCTTACATCAACTCTTCCTCGGACCTTGCAGTAGTAGGAAACTAGTCTAGTTATACCATTTTTTTATAGTTATCATTAATATATATATATAATCCTAGCTGTACTTTGGCATTTTGAACCCATGACTAGGATCAGAATATGTAGGAGGCTCACTTGTTAAATCCCGGCCATCTCTTGGCATTTTGATCCCACGGCTAGGATGGAAATCTGTGGGAGGCTCGCTTGGATCACTCCGATTTCCTTCCATATTTAATTGGCTGATTTAGGAAGGATTATATTAGAGCAATTATGCATGGTTTTGTATTTATTTGTTTCTTTATTAAGATATCTTGTATAGATTTATAAATAGGGATAGCTTTGTGCAATAAAATTAAGCATTTTCTTCTCCAATTCTCTAAATTTAACATGGTATCAGAGACAACATTACCATTGCTGGAATTTTGAGTTTTTTGTATTGTCGTGCCTTCATTGCCGGCCTTCCCTCTTTGTTATCCTATCTATAAGCAACACAATCTTCATTGTTGTTCTGTTTGATATAGCCTTCATCTCTACCATTTGTCGTTGCAATGTCTGAAGCAAATTCCTCCAAAGCTTTAACTAAATGGAGGACTTTATGATGTACCAAGGAAGTGGAGATCTCTAAATATGCAACATTTTTATCGCTTAAATGACAAGAATTACTTAAAGTGATCTCAATTTGTGAAGATCTACTTGAAAGGGAAAAGAAAGTTGAATCACCTCCTTGTGGTAGGACCAAAAGAAGGAGATCCTAATTTTTGGGCACGGGATGAAGCGTGCTTCATGATTATGTCATGATTGTGGAATTCCATATATCTCCAGAAATTAGTGATACTTTTATGTCCCTATCTATTTCAAAGGACATATGGGATGCCGTCAGGTCAAAGCTGTTGACGTATATTTTCATGTCAACATGACCATGATCGAGTCGATTTGAGCCTGACTGGGCTTGATTGAACTTGACCAACTCACTATATCATTGTTGAGCATCAATTATGATACAGGCAAGCTAGAAAGAAAAGTCAAATAGGAGAACACTTGGACAATAGAAACCAAACTCAATTCAATCTAGACTGCGGACATCTAAACAAACACCAAGACAAACAAAAAGTCGAACAAATGAAACAAAATTATAAAATAAAATACTATCCTCAGAACAATCGGTAAGCAGTTTCCTCACATGCAATGAAAAGTAGGTAAAATATGATAAGTGCAAGGGCTTGTAAACCAACGGTCCACAGCAACAAGGTCCAATGTCCAACCAAACTCCTTCGGCAAATGTTTCCAAATCAGCCAACAAACACCTCCCAATAGCTCAAGAAGAAGGATACAAGTGGAGTGGAACTTGCAAAGAGAAGAAGAGATTATAAGCCAAGACGAAATATAGAAGAGGAAGAGATAATTGGAACAAGCTCTCAAGCTTTTCCAAGAAAGGAGAAGAAACCTCCAGGTTTTTAGAAATTTTTTTCAAGTTAATCAACAACCTCTTCATGACAAAATCATCTCATATTTATAGGAGAAAAAGGGGAGCCAAATATCCAATTTCCACCTTTAACCGAACCAATCAGGTAAGGGGAAGAGGAAGGCCAGCAGGCAACACAAAACAACACCCAAAAAAGACAGCACAGGAACTGTAGAACTTCTGTATCAGGTGTTACCTGCAGAAGAGAAAACCAAAGTGACGGAGAAAAGGGAAATAAGAGAAGAAGAACAGTATAGTTTAATCTCTTCACCGTAACCCTTTCATTTCACTGTAGCTCTTCATATATACACATATTTCATGATTACAATGTCAGATAATCAGCCACGTGGACGGTGAGAGTAAAACCGTTAGAAGCCAACGGTGATAAGCGAAAGCACTAACATAAGCAGAGACTGCACATGGAGTAATGGGAGCACTAGCATTGGTCGCTAGGCTCAATACCTCCCCGTAAGCTAACAGGAGGAGGAGAGATGGTTAGCTTAGTTTTGAGCTGAGTAAATCTAGGAATAGAAAGTGATTTTGTAAACACATCAGCTAGCTGGTCTTGAGTGTAGGCATGATCAATATGCAGAACCCGGTTTTTAATGCAATCTCTAACAAACTGAAAATCAATTTCAATATGCTTGGTTCTAGCATGAAAAATTGGGTTGTGAGCTAAAGTGATTGCTGAAATATTATCACATAGAAGAACTGTCGGATGAGAAGTAGAAATCTTGAACTCATTTATTAGCCTCCGAAGCCAAATGAGATCCGTAGCAGCTGTGGCAAGAGCACGATATTCGGCCTCCGTAGAAGACCGAGCAACAATTTTCTGTTTCTTAACACACCAAGAAACAAGTGTGTCTCCAAGAAAAGCACAATAGCCAGATGTAGACTTACGATCTGTTGGATCACCGGCCCAATCAGAATCAGAATAAGCAATTAAGTCAAGAGAACCAGATGAAATCGGAAGTCCAAATGATAGCGTGCCCTTAATATACCGAAGGAGTCGTTTAAGCAATTTGAAATCATCTTCAAGCGGGGCATGCATATGTTGACATAACTTGTTGACTGTGAATGAAATATCAGGACGAGTAATCGTTAGGTACTGTAACGACCCAACCACATGCCGGAAATGCTCAGCTTCAGCGGACGATACAGGGCTGGAAGTCTCAGAGAAAAATTTTGAAGGACTAGGTGAGCTGATCGGTTTATAGTCCTTCATACCAGCACGATTCAAAATTTCCGAAGCATAGATAGATTGAGACAAGTGTAATCTGTGAACAGTAGAAATTATCTGCATACCAAGGAAATAAGTAATTGGACCCAAGTTCTTCATATGAAATTCAGCAGACAGACCACGCAAAAGATGCTGAATTGTTGGATCATGATTTCCGGTTAATAGAATGTCATCTACATATACAAGAATGTAGAGAGTGACTGAATTTTTGCTGTATAGCAAAAGTGATGGATCAGCCATACTATGTGTAAAATCGAAGCTGAGAAGATAAGTAGAGAAAGTTTCAAACCACTTTCGAGGAGATTGCTTCAATCCATATATAGATTTTTGCAATAAACACACATGATCAGGGTATAATGGGTCTACAAAACCCTGAGGTTGAGCCATAAAAACTGTTTCATTTAGTTTACCATGAAGAAAAGCGTTGGATACATCCAACTGTAGAATCTGCCATTTTGAGGTCACCGCCACTTTTAATAAAATCCGGATTGTAGAAAGCTTAGCCACCGAACTAAAGGTGTCTTCATAGTCAATACCATATTGCTGATGACAACCTTGTGCAACAAGTCTAGCTTTATGTCGAGCAATCGACCCATCGGAGTTGAGTTTAGTTCTGTATATCCATTTGCAGCCCAAAACATGTTGATCCGGACGGGACGGAACTAATTTCCAAGTACCTTGATGTTGAAGAGCAGCAAACTCCTGAGACATGACATTTCTCCAAGCAACAGATTTAACTGCCTGAGAATAACATGTAGGATCTGCAACCAAGCCAATATGGCTTAAACTAACAATATGCTTTGGTTTTAAATTACCAGTCCTGAATCTCGTAAGCATCGGATGAGTGGGAAGAGAAGAGGACAGATGAGATGGTTCTGTAGAGAATGGTTCAATATGCTGAACTGGTGGCATAACATTATTTGTGGAAGCAGGAGAAGTGACCGGAATTGAAGAAGGGAAAACACGGTCTGGAGACGGTGAACGGTCAGTGGATGTCACGGAAGCAGGGACTTGAACCATAGTAGGAACTAAGGTCAAGGGAGGAACATATTGAGATGATTTTTGTGGAACAGAAGAGGAAGGAATAGTTTGGAATGGAAAATGATGTTCGAAAAATCTAACGTGCCGAGAAACAAAGAATTTGCCAGAAGAAATGTGATAACAAATGTACCCTTTAGTGACAGAAGAATAACCAACAAACACACAGGGAAGAGACTTAGGATGAAATTTGGTAAAAGAGTTTTATGGAAGATAAGGATAACAGAGAAAACCGAAAGTTCGAAGCGAGCTATAATCCGGTTGTTTACGATAAAGCAGATGAAAAGGAGAAGATAACTTGTTGGAGATAGAGGGCAAGAGATTAATAAGATGCACGA